CGGAGGTGTGCTGTGGAGGGCGCGGCGTGGTGCTGGTGGGGCTGCCAGGAGGAGTGGCGTGTAGATGGAAAAGCGAGGATGCGCGGCGAGTTACTTCGCGACCCTCGACATTCAGTGTGGCAAGTTTTGTGGAAGACAAATTTTGCCTCTTGCATCAGGCAAAAATTTTTCTTTTTTTTTTAAACTCACAAAAGAGACAAAAAAATTAAGGGGGGGGGGGGGCGGCGTCAATTAGCCAATACTATAGTGAGGTTATCCGCATAAATAGAAGTATAGGGTTAATTGTGAACAGACCTCCCATAGTATCAACCAACTGCGTATAGACGCCATGTAGTTTCATTTGTGTAGATAGATCCATTGGATGAATTCTTCTGACCCTTAAAACAATCAAAGAATTTTTATAGGGACAGATAGACCTCTTACAACTCTATCAGTGAGGATAGATTTCTAATCACTCTTTTCTTTTCTTTTCTTTTTCTTTTCATTTTTTTACTGGTAAAAGAGATGAAAAAGTTTTCTACTGGTAAAAGAGATGAAAAAGATAAGGGGATGTATTGGCACTTAGACCAATACTGCAGTGAATCTTTTCACACATATAAAACTAAGCGGATTTCTACTAGTAATTGAGTGATGCCACATAAAGTCTATTCGCAATTAACTTTATAAAATAAGATGATGAATGGCTGGAAATAATTTTATATATCAATGAACTATTATTTCCAGTAAGTCACATCTATCCTATATGTTGAAGCCAAGGCCCCTTTTGCATGTTACTCACATTCTTGGATATTTGGGAATATCCTCATATTTATGGGGGAAAACGACAGAAATATCCACAAACTGTGGGGGAAATCAACATAAAAAATCCCTAAGAAACCATGAAAATGCCCTCAAACGTGGCAAAAGTAGCAACCGAACAAACTTGTATATGATCCCTTTATAATTCAATCACGACCCTCATACACGTTCTAGGTTTGTGTACTAGAACATTAATGATCTCTTAAATACACGACGTCAACAGTACTTGTTTTGCGAGAAAATTGCACACTAGGTATTTATAATAAAATAAGCAGTTATTGAAAAAAAAAACAATGAAGGTTTACGTGTGTTACGTATGTGTATATGAATCTTAATTAAGGGTACATGATACAACAAAACTTTATCATAAAAAGTTTTCATTTCTATGATAAAGTTTTCATTTCTATGAGCAAGTTCTATCATAGAAAGTTTTCATTAATTAGATTTAAGAGTGATCCAACGAAATTCCCCCATCTTAATACCTACATTCAATGAATATTCAGGGATAACCACCACGGAGAGGGTCCTATCCACCCACGTCAGTACTAAACCAGTGGGTCCACTTGGGCCCCACGTTCTGATCTCATGTGGTCCCCGCAAGAACCTACCCCACCACCCAACATCTCCAGCTGTCATTGTGGAGGCCAATTTCTCGTGCTGCCGGCTCAAGGACCACATGTGACTCACCCACTTCCTCATCCGGGCCCACAACCGTCTCCCTCCCCCACATATTTTCTGCGCACCTCCTAGGGCCCCACCGCGAACACCCACAATATAAGCAAAAAACTAATAGTATTTTTCTACAAGATTTGTTCAACTCTAGCCTTTTACGCAAAACCTCCATAGACTTTAGAAATTTCACTTTACTTATCAAGAGTTTCTTAAAGAATGTACCAAAATTAGCGTAGCAATTAACAATGAATAGACGGGAACCCGCGGCAACGGAACAGCTATTCCCACTTCACTTGTTGCATACAAAACGGCATTTTTAAAAGTTGAAGTGCCCATTCACAAAGAGTTGTAAAAGAACATTTAAATTTTTAGGAGGTCCATTTTCCAAAAAGTTGTTAAGCCACGGTGATTCAGGCTTAGGTGAGGGGAAAAAAAAATTATCATTGCGCGCTACAGTAGTTATGTTATCAACTACAACAACAAATATCGACCATCGCTGACGACACATGAGAATGAGCATTTCATTCTATTCTATCTTAACATATTCCCGAAATTCCGAGTACCAAATGAGATTCCGAGTACCAAATGAGACGTTAGAATTTGACCATGTCTTTTAAGAAAGAGAGATTAAGAAGAAAGATTAATCTACTTAGCCCATTTGCTTACCCGAATAGCTAAATTAATTAACTCGTCGGCTAGATTTATTTTAATTCTTATGACTCTTTTTAGTGTTTTGGTAGAGAATAAGTCCTTTTTTTTATAAATACTATTATTATTTCCAACACGTCTAATATGCCTGGCATATTAGTAAACCTCTACTTTTAGGAGATTAATTACTATTAACTTACATTAACTACCATTAGAAAGTTAACTTTATCCATCTATAGTTTTTGCAATTGGCAAATGAAGAGGGGTTAATTCAGTCTATTTCCTTTGTACAATATTTTATTATTTCATAGGTTAAGGAGGGTCTCATTTTAACCCTTATCTAATTCGTTGGCCAATGACACCTCAAATTCTACTAAGTAGTAAAATACCCTTGAACATATTAAGAACGTATGAGCATGAGTATGTTGTTAACTTTGTAAGTAATTTTTCTTAAAAGTTCAGATAAGTTTATGGGAACTCTCTAAATAAGAGGGGGTTTGTGAAATGTAAAAAGTGTAAGGGTCTTGTACCAAAAAAAAGGGGGATAAAGATATGGGGTTTCAAGAATTTACGCAAAAGTTAATTCTAAGGGAAAATCAAAAAAGATAAATAAAAATTCAACGAACACCGTCACTAAAACAACAATAAAATACAGGTAAGGGAGGTTCTACGAAACTTCTACAGTTTAAGAGAGGTCTTCGGGGACCCCAAAGTTTGGGGAGGTATTATAAAATTCGAACAACCCATCAATCCAAACAAAAGATCCACTAGAATCGTAAACAGATCATCTTCACTAAAGCTACGGTTAAATTTCATAATAACAGTCGGAGAAGAGATAAAGGATTAGATCTCAATCAGTTAAAAAAAAACAAAAAGACAAAAAATTAAAAAAAAAAAAGTTAACGAACCCTAATTCTCCGTACTACTATCGGACAACCTCTCCTCATCCTCCCCATCCTCCTCTTGCGCGCCGCCTCCCCCATCAACCTCAGCACCTCTTCCCCCCTCCCCCTCGATGCGGCGCCGGCTGAACCTCGCCGGAAAAACACCTCCTTCATCGCCCCCAGGTCCACCATCCTCGGCCCCCGGAAACGTCTCCATTCACCTCCTGCCTCCCGCCCGCCGCAGCAGCCGCCGGAGCCGGTATCATCCCAACACCGCCGCGCCCACATCAGCACCATCCCGCCCCATCGGCATCCGAGCCAGCCCCGATCGACATCGGCCACCGAGCTCACCGCCCTTCGTCGCTGCCCAGCTTCCTCCTCTTTCTAATACTCTCGTCCGTCGACGAGGTTACGGAGCCGGAGCTCGGCCCTCGTTCGGATCCTCAGAGTCCCGTCGACCTGGTCGCTATGGCGGAACGTGCACGCTTCCGGTACGGCGATGATCGCGGGCCTCGGCGTGCTGGATGAGCCATCGGATTCGTTCGACCTCCGACTTGTCCGAGCTCGCGCGTGAGCTGAAAGATCCGCCGACGCGCAGGCCGCCGGCATGCGAATCACGCGGCCGCGCCTGCAACCTATTCGTATGTCGAGTCCTTCGTTCCTCGCGCGGCCGCCGCTGCCACGATCTGGAGCCGCCCATCATGTCGACGCGGCTCCGGCTTCGCGATTATCAGGCGGTGGCATCCGCCGGAGCTATATCACCGCTCCGCGGCCGTTGACGTCATCGGCATCGAGTGAGTGCTTCGTCCCTCGTCGTCTTGATCCTGGAGAGTTTGAGTCCATTAAAACCCTAAGAAATCGAGCGGAGGGGGCCGTCTGTTTTTATCCTTGCTGGACCCCTTGATCCAACGGTGGGGTCCGGGTTTTTTAGTTTGAACCGACCCCACCATGGATGATCTGGACCGTTGGATCGAGGTGGGGTTTGGACGGTGGGGATTCGATGGTGGTAGGGGTGTTTTGAGAAGGTTGTGGGAAATTACTAATGTAAACTTTATGCGCACCCGGGTACTCGTAACTACTCTTTGGTATGTTAGTGCTGGGTCCTTTTTGTGTGGGCCCGGCCCGTGTACTTTTAATGAAAAGTTTTGGGACCTGAAAAGGGACTAGGGATTTGACCGAAACCTTTTCAATAGAGAAATGACTTATGTCATGTGTGATGGCTAAGGGTGGAAATTGTGTCACATCATTGTATATGAGGGAATCATCTAATATGGCACATGATACTCATTAATCTCATATATATATAGAGAGAGAAAAATAGGTATGCTTGGAACTAAGCACAAATTTTGTGTTTGGCAGTGAAGTGGCATATTCCCCTCCACTCGTTCAAATAGAGGACCATATTTACATGTATTGAGGAGTGCATGAGGATATGCAACTATTTGAATGAGTGGAGGGGGAAGTGACACCTCACTACCAAGCATAACTTTTTATGCTTGGTACCAAAAATTCCTACTTGGATTGAACATTAAATCTTTTGTGTCCTATAACAAAATAATATGACCAGCATTCAAGATAGAATACAATAGAATTGGTTCAGCAAGTGCAATATGTTTTCAAGAAAATACATGTCAAGTAGCATAGACAATTATCTAGCATCGGTTAATCACTATGAAGTCAAGCTCTTCTCATGTCTTCTTAAGAGAAAGGATTGAGTCTTGAAAGAAGACCCCAACCGAGCAATACATTCTTGAAAAAATGGGTGATTACAATCTACTTACAGATAATTATCAAAATCCCCAGCCAAAGAATAAAATGAAGGGTATCTCTCATTACATCACACCAAAAAAACATAAAATTCCCTAGCTGTATACATAAAAAAACCTATCAAAACACCTCCTAACATACTCACACAAAAAAATTGGAACATTAGCAACATTTAGCAACAAAATATAGAGCTTAAAAACATCTCCATTCACCAAAGACCTGACCTCAGCTAAATAACATCAAATTGTTGATCTCCTAGCAGCTCCCCATGTCTCTTACTGTTTCGCCATGGTTTTATGGTCATAGGAAAGGCTAAAACAATAAGGACATATCAAGACATATAACCGTTTGAACACAAAGTTAAAGGAACATGAAACAGGGATGTATAGGGGATTAGAGCAGATCACCTAAGTACTGATTGAATCATTGATAATGAGCAAACCGATATAGAAATAAATCTCTCCTATAAAGAACATTCTTTTTAAACAAATACCCATTACATCTACAATATTTCTTACATTATAATATCTGCCAACATGTCTTACATTAACATCTATAATATTTGTTATGCTATAGAGTCTATCAATAGAATAATTAAGCTAATAGACGCAAATGCGTTTTGGCTAACTATCATTCTCTAAGTTATCATATGACTTGTAGCCTGTAAGCTTAATAATTTCCTTTAGCAATTGCATTATCAATTTTTATATGTATCATGAAATTAGTATTTTCCTTATAGTAATTCCAATTGGCATTTGAGCTCATATTTGCTTACATGAATTAAGATATTGCAAGATATTTGATAATGTCCATTTAGTAAAAGTTTACTCTCTAATAGGAATTTCCAAATTTCAGAATCTTTAGTATATAACAATTGAGTCAATTACAATTATTATTAAACAACTAAAAAAGGAAAGGGAAAAAAATAAAGCTCTCTAGACAAAATATATTAAACTACTATATCTACTTATAGTTCTAACAAATGAGCGAAAGGGATATAGCCTATGATGATTTGTTGAAGGTAAAAAAGGTTAAATTAATTTTTTTTTAAATTCGAGCCCAAGGTATTTATGATTATAATAATATATCATTATATCTGTGAATTTTAAGGTATATGCAAAATTTCACAAGGTTCAAATCTCTCTAACCCAATTTATTTTATTTCATCAAGTACTATAAGTGCACATTATCACTTACACTGATATGAACAGTCTCAAATCTTTTAACTTAATACATAAGCATGATTTGACAAAATCTTGTGGTTAGTTATGCTCAACAAGCTCATGACCAAGGATAAAGTTAAAGCTTGGGGGAGAACAGATGATGCACACGGTAACCTTTGTGGGTTCATAATAAAATTGTTCAGCATTTGTTCTTTAAATGCTTATTTTCAGCTCAAATATGTGATCAAATACTATCATATATGAGGCTACAAGGAAGACATAAGTCTTGGATTAGATTCCGGCCTTGGTATAAGACTCTAGAGGGAAGAAAAGGTCCAGGTTCAAGGCATAGAAGAGCTCTGCTTGTAGCAACTACATACTATATTTAGCAAGAACGAAACTTCGGACAATTTAGAGGCATTAGCAATTCCCTCGCAGGATTACTCAATAAAATTCACAGCTTGATGGCCTGCAAAATTTAGAGGCATTAGCAATTCCCTCGCAGGATTACTCAATAAAATTCACAGCTTGATGGCCTGCAAACTTGGTGATTTTAAATGACACTAACTTACTTGATGGCCTGCAAACTTGGTGATTTTAAATGACACTAACTTATATTTGTATATTGTTCTCTCATGCATCATTGTGATGTTTTTTCTTGCTGTTGGAAGCCTACTTTTGTTATACTTTGGAATGCCTAAGTACCCTTGTACACCTGATAATCAGTGAAATATTCTTTACCTATGAAAAAAAATTCATCACTCAATTTGGTACTCAATCGGATGTCGCATTCCTATCTCACACAACTTGGATGAAGTATTGCCTTCTTAGTGATAATGCTTCAGAGTATTATGGATTAGCTAGATGTATTGCAAGCTTGCAACTTTGCAAGAAGCCTTAGAGCTTGAGTAAAATAAAGAATTTTCACTTTCAAATGGCCATGAAAGATTAACATAGAACCACATTGCCATACTAAGCTAAAGCTAATGAGTCTTACATTTAAGCAAAATAAAATTTAGTGGGATAGCAATGCATCTAATCTATGAAGTGTAATTATAAGCAAAAGTAAGAGATATTCTCCTTAATTTTTAAATAGGAGTAAAAATTTTGAACGATCATTCTGATATCAAATAGTTACTCAAAGCTAATCATAACATAATCATACAATTTAAAAAACAAACATTGGTAATGTAAGTCTTACCCTTGATTGATCCACCTCTGGATCTACCAGGGAAACCACTCCTGCAAGTGTTTCAAGTGTTGTCCCTGCAACTGTACAAACATGAAAAGTGATCAGTTTGATCAGGCACAATAGTAGTTGTACTTAGAAGTTACAACATTAACATGAGACGATTTCCAGCCAATCAAAGTGAAGCAATAATTACAAAAGACATAAACTGGTAAATGTAGCATCTAGTGTTAAGTTATTTTCAACATAGATACCAAGAAAGGTAAAAGATTTCAGTACCAGTAACATAAGTGCTGGATTCAGCACTGCTAGAATCATATCGCCATCTTCCATCACTTTGACTAAGCGACTGAGGAAATAATGGTTTAAGTTATACCTCTTCACTAAATGGAAAAGTAACAAAAAAACAAAAAGAATACATAGGAGTTGAAAGCTTATCACCTTTATGGAATCAAAAACACTACTGGCATCTGACAGTGACACATCAAAACCTTGATCCTGCATCAGAAAAATAAAAATATGTTTTTTATGTTTATAAAGTTTCAAATAATAACAGAACACATTGAAGATCAAAGAGAAGGCAATTAAGGATGTAACTATATCAATAGAAATAGAACTCGAGCATAATAAACTTGTGTATCAGCTGGAATAATAACAAACAATTTAGTACAAAACAAACAATGCAATGTCTAATTTGAACTCACAGGATATTTTCGGTAAATAGTATATACAACACATTATACGAAAGAATATACCGAGATCATAAGTAATCACGAGTTCTTCATCAATCTCAAGGCTCCACTCCTCAACATGCAATCTCTCTGCCAAATTCCCTCACTCATAAAACTCAAAGAAAAACAAATAATTTGGAGGCCTCGCATGAGCAACAACCAACTTAGCCAATCAAGGATGATCCACTTCACTTCACGCTAAAAAAAACCAACATCAAAATTATCCATATTGGTCAACATGGGCACTCCCAAAATCTCAACTTTAAGCGAAAACCACCTAAAGGAGTGTAAACTTTCTTACCACCACAGTTGAAGTTCTACTCTCCGGCCATCGAGCCTCACGTCGTAGACGGTGCTTTCAGAACCTTTTGTTTGGTGAAATCAAAGGAGAGTCTCAGAATGGACTAACAGAAAATTAGAGAAAAGACATAGGGGGTTTGGTGAAATTTTACCTTTAGCGATAGGGGAGAGGAGAGAAAAGGAAGAGGGAGGGAGATGGAGGGGGATTGACTTGCTCGAGCAGCTCTCTTCAAACAAAACGGGAGGTGTGCAATTCCACAATTCTCTTCAACAAAAAGAAGATGTATGGGTAATTCAATATCAGCATAAAAATTTTGGGGGAAAAACAATTTCTTTTTTTAGCTAATAAAGATACCTTACTGGTTTTGGCATCAATCTAACATCTAAGAATGTTGTTCAATCTCAATGCATGAAACACATCCTTCGTTGTAGAAGAAGACCGAGTTTTTCCACAACAAGCGGGCATGTTGCCAGGCTACTTTCGGAAACCTTTTCAGTCCTAGAATCAAAAATGTTCTCACTGTTCCATGCTATATTTAGCCTCTTCATTTCGTAACAAATTTTCCATTAATTCTTAAGTAAAAAAAACTCATAACTTGTGACAATTAGTTGGAATTTATTGGGTGTGAAGGCTTTTGATTTTATAACTCATTTTATAAATTCTTAATAATAATTAAAAACACCTCATAAATTTGGCCATTAATTAGATCCAAATTAACTTTGTTATATTTACAAAAGTTGAAGGGCAATTTGGGGTAGTGAAAGTTTTTCTAGTACTCCCTCTTTTAAAGGGTAGATGATAGATGATATAGAGGAAAGTTTTTTATGATAACAACAATAATAAAATCCAAAACAACGTTAAACTTTATTGTTGTTGATTAAACAACTTTCCTCGCTTGAAGTTCTTTGTATCTAGAACATCATCACATTTGCCTCATTTTTTCGATTTTGCATTTCCATTTATCTCATGCATCTCATTATTGAAACGCGTGCCACTCGGGCAGTTATCAAAGTTGACTACCGCCTTCTAACATCAGCTGTAGTGGGAGACTCGTCGCCATTGGATTTGCATAATATTAGATTTTCCGTATATTAAAGGGAAATTTATTTTTTAAAATATGTAAAGGAGGCGCAGTACTACAAACATGGCGAGGTATTTTTATGTGAATATAACAAGGGTTTAAGGTTTTTACTGTTTGTTTAAGTTTGAGTTTCTGTTTACAAAGGAGGAAGTTTTCACTGTAGATTGAGGGATTCATTCTCAATCTTCTTCATCCTCTTCTTTGTGTTCATAGAGAAGTTTTCTAACTCTTTTCTCTAGCAATTTCATTATTGATTTTCATATTCTTATTATTGCTAGTTTGCTATTTGAGTTAGATTTTATTTTATCTCATTGTTACACACACCCACTTGAGCTTATTGTATTTCCATTCATAATATATTTTGGGTTGGTAAGTCTTCTTTGTGTTCATAGAGAAGTTTTCTAACTCTTTTCTCTAGCAATTTCATTATTGATTTTCATATTCTTATTATTGATAGTTTGCTATTTGAGTTAGATTTTATTTTATCTCATTGTTACACACACCCACTTGAGCTTATTGTATTTACATTCATAATATATGAGCCTAGGGAGAGGTTGTAACCGAGAACTTGAGGGAAACACGGCTAGGTCCAACACTTGTGAGGGTGTAGAGTGTGATTGCAAGAGTATTGATTGTAAAGTTTTCGGTTAGCTAGAAAACCGAGTGTGAGGTGTAAACATTGTTCGGGTGAACGTAGAAAACCCGGTTGATAGTGGATTTCTCCCCGGGAGTAGGGAGCGGAGACGTAGGACGGAAGTCCGAACTCCATGATCATATCTTGTGTTTGAGTGTGCTTTGGCGTTTATTTATACTTGTGTTTATATTTCTTATCGCCATTGTCATTAGCTCATTATTTATATGATCCACTATCTAGTTCATATTGTTTACCCCTTGTGTTAGTTTTATATCCTTGCATATATATATATATCATATAGGATATATCTCATTGTTTACATTGCTTATCCTAGCTCATATATCTTGTGATATTTCATACTTGCTAGGATAACTTGTTAATTAATTTTAATTGGCATCTTATTAGATTAGATTAGCATAAGACCCTAATCACCCCCCTCCAGGGTCTAACAATTGGTATCAGAGCTTGGTGCTCTTTGATTTAAGGTCTAATCGCCTTGAGTTAAAGATCCAAGTTAGCTTATTGTGCTAATCTAATTTTGAGCTTTATTTGTATCTTGCTTGCCTTTTATATTATGGATATGCATGGTTTAGGTTATGCCATTAATATTGCTCCTAGATTAGATAATTTCCCCTATGCCCAATGGTATGTTAGATTTAAACTTTTTGTTCAATCTAAACACTTTGATTTATGGGAAATTATAGATGATGCCTATATTGTGCCCACTATGGAGAAATCCAAGTGGAATAAAAATGATCATCGAATGTTTACTATGAACAACATTTTGTTAGAATATTTGCTAAATGCTTTTAATTCATCTATGTCTAACAAGTTTGTTCATTTTGATAGTGCTTACAAAGTTTGGAAATTTATAGAAGCACATCAAGGGGACTTGGAAATTTATAAAATCCCCTGAAAGTGTAGCCGCATAAGCTCCAGTGGCTGGTCCTACAATCAAAACTCCTCTGTGGTTAATTAAGAGTTAACAAATGAATAATGACAATATCAAGGTAAAATCCGTACCTGCAGATGAACCAACCTCAATAGTCGGACTTGTGTCTTTGTGGTGAGCTTGCTCTGATAGCATATCGACATGCAATTTATGGTCAGCTTAGGAGAAACCCATCATTTGATCGAGGGCATGTTCATCGAACTCCCCGATATTGACATCATGGAAAACTTCTTCCTCAGCTAATCCTTCCATCCTGACATCTACAAAGCTTGTTATCCTCGTCCACCACTTGTCAGCTGAGGAGTGAACCCAACCGTGGCATCTGAAGTCTTTTACGGGTAATTTCCATCCTAGCCTTGCAAGGCAATTCCTTATAGTATTAGTGTGACGCATCTGGGTTCACACAAGGCTGCAGTCCAAGGTAAAACCAAGAATATCAAACCTGTCATGTACCACACCATGCAATAACATGTTTTACCATCACAATTACTATCTCTCTAGTAGAGTCAATAACAGGTGTAAGTACAAAAGCAAGTAAAAGATTATACAAGAGTCAACTGATGAAATAATAAAGATCAAATTAATATTCCATCTTTACCATACTGAAATATAAGTCAATGTCTGAAATAAATATACTGGAGTTCTCGACAAGTCTCAAATACATAAAGTCTAAAAAAGAGGAAATAAGGCACACAGCCTTTACAACTTCTAGAAATAACTCTCAAAATGTCTAAACAAAAGCCTACAGTGGAGCTCAAAAATAAATATAACTATAATAGAATAGCTAAAGGTAGAGTGCATCGCTATCAACCTGCGACTCTCCGGGCTCCTGGCTCGTTACCTGAAAGGGGGAGGGACAATGAGCGTCAAAGCGCTAGCGAGCAACATCACAACCAACCCCAAGGGAAA